CTAGGTCCAGCCACAGGCCGTGGCTGTCTAGCCCAGGCGTGGTTGCTTTGCAAGCTGCCTGATGGGTGGTGTGGGGGCCTTTTTGTAGCAGTGGAGAGACGAGAGGTGCTGTCAGAGCGGCACGTGGGGCTCTGCTGTGCTTCCAGCTGCAGTGTGGTCTCTGTGGCAGTACACATGGACACGTGGTGGAAGAGCTGCTGCCTCCCCATCCTACGTGGCTTTATCTTCCCAAAATCTTCTAGAGTAGAAGGCATTACTAGTGGTGGAGCTGTTCGTGAGTCAGACTTATTTGAGTTCAAAGGGATCTACAAAGGGTTCTGGTCCAGCCCTGCCCTCAAAGGAGAGTGCGGTTAGAACAGATCACTTATGATCTTGTCCATTACAGTTCTGGAAATCTCCAAGAAAGGAGGACATTAACAATCTGTTCAGGTAATGTGCTCCAAATTGTGACTAGCAAGATTTGTAGATAGTTTCTTTACCGGCAGAGGTGAGCACTTTTTGAAACTGCTACAAAGCTGAGGTAAAATTGAACTTAGATCTGAGTTCAGTGCTGCTCTTCACAGAGAGGTCCATCACTCCTGGGTGCTGAGATGGATTTTTCTTGTGTCATCCACCAGCGGTTAGTGGGGCTGTGATAATGCTGCCTCTCTGCTTTGTTTTAGGTATGATTCTCACGTTAAAGGCTATGGGGCTTCAGAGATGTGTTTTCCTAGGGCCACCGAGGCTGGTAAGTAGGGGATGCTTCCGGAAAGGAGAATGAACCCTTCACATGTTAAAGCTTACCTTGGAATTGGGGAGCTGGCATCAAGGCAATTAATTGTCCTACAGGTGTAAGATGCTGGTCTGAGTGCCAGCCCAAAGGTTCTGCCAGAAGGCCTGGCTTTAAAAAGCAAATCTCTTCAGTTACACACAAGACAGCATCAGACTTCTGCTCCTTAAAACTGTCTTGTCAGCTAATATTCTGGTATATTAGGTTTTGGATAAAGGGTGTCCTTTTTTCTACTGTCTGCTTCCCTCCATTTTCTTTTAATAGAAACTTGTTCTCTGATCTCCCGCTCAATGTGATCCTTGCCAGCCTGATGTCTAGGCTGAAAATTTCCAATCCTCAGCATTGTTTTATTTCCTTGCAATATCTGCTGACTAATTATGTTGATGGAAGGGATGGGAGAGTGGTTCTTTATCTTCCTTCCTCTTTCTAAATGGCTAATGCTCACTGGAGCTGGGACACCTGCCCAGTGCTTTTTGGCTGTCTCTGGTGCCCAGAGTTCGCCTGGCTGGGCCTTGAGCCTTTGAGTTCACTGAAAGTGACTGTACCTCCTGAAAGCGGTGCTTGTAATCGCAGTGCTTGGGCACGGCCTCCTCATACAGTGTCTCTTTTCCAGCAAAACTACTTGAAGGCGATTCGACTCTTTCCTGGGCCCCTAAAAAGGATGGATTTAGGTATGTAGGCCAGGGATGTGTAGCTAATACGAACTTGTAACTTCTTTTTGTTTCAGCTGTAGCCAAGGTTGCATTGAACGGTAACAACTTGCCTCTGGTTTAGATCCACTCAAAGAAAGTTTTAAACATTTGTTTTGATCTGATACACTGTTCAGATCCATCACAAGAACTGCTTGGGAGAAAAAGAGTGTTTCCAGCTCTGTCTTGGTGGGCTGCTGCCAGTCTTTCTGACTAGCACTTGGTCTTAAAGCACTGAAAGGCAATTTGCTTCCAGGGTCTCCTGGTGCACTTGCTTACTGTGGTATCATGGACTACTTTTTGTGGATGATGGACTTTTAAGAAATTTAAGTATTCATTGATCTTTGCAGTTGGGCAGAGAGAGGGAAGGGGGACATTCAGGTTTTGATTAAGAAAGATAAAGGATATTTCTCCTATTTAAATTGTTGTAGAGTAAGAATCTTTTCTTGTGAACTTGTTAATGCTGGTTCCTGATCTCTTTCCAGCTGTGCAGTTGCACACAGAGCCTGAGTACAAGGACGAGACGATGACAGTCTGCCAAATACCTCTGACAGGTGAGCGTGTGATGCAGTAATCAGACGGGAGAAGCACGTGTTCAGTAACCGTGGTTAAGGTGGTTAGAGGAATGGCTTCTGTTTGCAAGTCTGAGTAAGGAGAGGTTTATTCATTTACATGTTTTTCTCAGAAGAAGGATCCCTTTCAAAGAAACAAGATGTGCTGAGTCAGGGCCTTGGTTTGTTCCTTTAGGTGTGGGTGTATAGAATGACATGTGAAACATCACTGGTTCAGCTTCCTAGCCAACTGAGTTTTCTTACTGCTGGAGACTGTCAAGTCTGTGCCTGTACTCTAAGTGTCACAGGGTTTAGCAGTTTGGAGAGAATCTGAAGGACTTGGGGGACAGATGGCTCCTGAAATAAGTGACTAGAATATGAAAGTGCAAGTCAGACTCAGGGGAGGAGCTCTGTGTTCTGGTGCAGTTTAAACATAACATAGAAGAGGGAATGCTACTCGTGCTTTTCTTATCTATCCCTTTTTTTTGAGTGATCTTTGTCTGGTTTTATTGGATTTGGGACAGGAAAGTCACTAGCTGCTGAAAATATGTCGCCTCAGAGTCCTGGAGCATCAACCCAAGGTGGAAATAGCCCTAAAGGGGACGCAGGGCCTGGATCCCCAAGATCTGCACAGCAAAGCTTGGAGGAGGGCAAGGAAAAAGAAAACTCAAATAAAAGAGGTGCAAGAAATGGAATGACCTTTTTAACTCTAATGAAGTAAAGCCAAAGGACATGCATTTGTCCTCTGAGCTGTTTGCTCTCTGGAAGTTGTGTGGATGTGATTACTACTTGGGATGTGATTATTCCTGTAGTAGTTTTCCCCTGGCTGGAGTGGGTGCTCCAGCCTGTGTAACTTAATTACGAGTGGATGTAGGCGTTGATTATTCTTCAATCTTAGGCTTTATTTTAGCTTCTTGTGGCTGAAACCTTGGGCTCCCTGGCCTTAGGTGCTTGTAGCACTTTGCTGCTGGGCTCACAGTTGGCTGGATGATGTTGTTCCTGTTAATGTGTCAATGCTTGCTAAAGCATTATAGCTTTAAGAAAAAAGATAGTGATGATTCTAAGTAGTTTTACTTTTCTTTTACAGGTAATGAACAGAAGTGTGCAAGCAGGCATCCCGATCTGGTGATGGCTTTCCTTTGTAAAGTAAGCTTGGACACAAAGGTCTCTAATCAATGTACAATAGAATATAGAACAGAAATTTCAGTTGGAAGGGACCTATAAGGATCATCTAGTCCAACTGCCTGACCACTTCAGGGCTGACCAAAAGTTAAAGCATGTTACTAAAGGACTAATTGTCCAAACACCTCTTAAACTCCAACAGGCTTGGGGCATCGAGCACCTCTTTAGGAAACCTGTTCCAGTGTTTGACCACCCCTTGGTAAAGAAATGCTTCCTTGTGTCATTAGGACATTTCATCTTACAAATAGGTTTAATTGGAGATAGCATTTTTCAAGCAGGACTTTGAAGCTATTTTGTGATTCTACTTTTCAAAGGTCAGAATAACTATAGTGTGAGTAGGAATGTGTAAAAACTAGAGACACTTTTTTTAGAAGTGTTCTTTGTAGAGCAGCTAATTAAGAGTATACAGGTTCCATTCTTGCTTAATGCTCACAGTAGACCTGTCAGTAGTCACAGTCTGTCCTGCTTACTTGGCTAAAGAAGGGAGCAGGAAGCAGCAGCGTGATCTTGGAAACCAGAAAGTCTAGTAAAAGCGTTTTGGGGGTAAATTAAACTAGTGGCTGTAGAACTAAAAAAAAAAAAAATCTTTTGACTTGTAGGCCTTTGACTAGTAGGGAAACACTTAAACTGGAAGTATGTGGGTCTTGTTTCCTGGCCCTCTTTATGTGGCTGATAATTCTGTTTTATTTAATTCTTTTCAGATTCACCCAAAGAAGGGCAAATTCCTGGCAGCTAAAGCGCAGGAGATGGGTCTGCCAGTGTGAGTGCAAGATCCCAGTCCGGGGATGGGGCAACACCAGACTTGTTGATGCTGGCAAGCTAAATATTTCTGTGGCCTTGTTTTCAGGGGAACTCCAGCCATTCTTCCCATAATTACAGCTCTCAAAAATGGAGAGCGAATCACTTTTGAAGGCAGAGAGGTAAGATGTATCTGTGCTTTCTGCTGTGGCTTTGTCATCTACCCTCCTTCACTGGGCTCCCAGGGTGACAATCTCTTTGTGCAGGATGTTTTGCCTACCAACAGGCACTGGGACATGTTTGGTTTTTTTTTTTAACACCCATTCCTGAGCCAAGGGTGGGTGGTGGTTGCCTGCCTATTCCCTCTCATCCCTGCTAAGAGGTTGGCATGGGTTTTGCTGTTTCTGAGCTTCAAGTGGCTGCTCTGCTTCATGACTGGTCCCTCTTCCAGCCCCAAGTTGTTGCTGAATGTGGCTGCCATGGGGGCACGTCTGGGGCTGTTGCAGGGGTATGATTAGGGAAGTGCGCTCTGAAATAAACTCATTTGTGAGTGTGGCTGTATGTCTGCAGTTTGTCAGAGCTGCATCATCTCCCCTTCCCAAAGCTGATTCGGGTCGAGGAATGAACTAGTGGAGTTAATCCCCACACATTTTAAATCTGAGGTTTGAATGCCTGTGTGGCTGTTACTTCCTCCTTACTCTGTTTGCACCTCTTAGACCAACAGCAGTTCGATAGTTCCTGTGTGCAGGGCCTTAATCTCTCGAATGCTAGTCTGAAGTGAGAGGCAGAGCCAGCTCTGGCCATGTCCCGGATGATTTGTAAGTGAAGATCCTACATTGGACGATAAGATTGATATATCTTTGAGTCATAAGAATTTCACAAAGCCTTTTTTTCTTTAACAAGCTTTTACTACCATCTGAATTCACAGAACTGTAGGGGTTGGAAGGGACCTCTGGAGATCATCTAGTCCAATCCTCCTGCTACAGCAGGTTGCACAGGATTGTGTCCAGGCAGGTTTTGAATCTCTCCAGAGAAGGAGACTCCACAACCTCTCTGGGCAGCCTGTCCCAGTGCTCTGGACAGAATCTGCTGTGGGAACCTAGAGGCTGCTAAAATTCCCTTCCTTACATTAGGCTGTGGTTTGCTCTGAGACCAGGGTTGGGATTGGTTGTTACACAGCAAAATGTAAATGTGCATAATGAGAGCAGAAAGGGAATCAGAACTGCACCAGCTGGGTTTGAGCATTGGGAGTGCCTGCTTGGAGCTGCCTGCTGGGGCTGGCTGACAGAACAGCTGCCAAGAGTTGGACATAATGATGCAAAAAGGGCTGTGTGTGTAGCGTGGTTGTGGTGTGATCTTTGTGTATCTGCCTGCAGCTCTTTCCTGAAGAACTGTGCACCCCTACTGATCCTGGCCCGGTGTTCATTGTGCTGGAGTGTCCTCACGAGGGCTTTGTGGATGCTGTCTGTGAAAACGAGACCTTCCGAAGGTAGCAGGGTTGGGTGACCCAGAGTGTTTGGGGGAAGACATCTGTGCTGAGCTTTGCCAAAGAGAAGTTCTTGTTCTGTTCTAGATGTGTCTGTCCCTGTGGCTGATGTCTGAGCTATTTGGCACTGTTAAGGAGCTAGAGATGCAAGAAAGGACTGTTGGTGCATTTTAAGCCCTGTAGGAAAGGCAGGTCTGCACAGAACCCGTGAGGTTCTCTAACTATGACAGGCCCATCGTCCCTCAGGGGCCTCCTGAGGAGGAAATGCACACTGATATCTTGATGGGGAGCAATGCAGAGATGGCCGCTTCCCTGTGTGGTGGAAGCTTGGACTGCCTGTAATGTCTCTGTGGGGCTTGTGCAGAAGTGTGTTAGGCTTCTGAACGGCTCTGCAGATGATGTTGCTCTTGGAGGAGAGGAAATGTCCTGGGAGGGAGAGTGGAGGTGTCAGCAAATGGCGGACTGGAGCCTTGTGCCTACTGTGATGTGGAGCCTCGAGCTCCTGGGCTGTGCTCTTAAGATATGTGCTCTGCCTGCTTCAGGGGAGGTCATCTCTGATAGTACCAAGATGGGAGAGGGGAAGGGATGCCAAGGTGACGGAGGACTGAAGCTCACGTATTCCTGTATTTGAACGTGCCACAGGTACCAGGAAGGACTTCCTGAGAACCAGGTGGCCTTGGTTGTTCACATGACTCCAGAGTCAGTGCTTCGAGACAGCCGTTACCAGCAATGGCTGGAAAGGTATGGGGTCTTCTGATTACTTGGTTTCATGTCACTGTTGGGAAGCAGTATGCTCTTATGGTGCACATGTTTTTCCAGAGTAGAAGTAGCTGTTGGGTGTCAGCAGGGCTCAGATGATAATGTAGCTAACGGCTCAGGTGTGCATACATACCCAGCTCTAACGTGGGGCTGAAGCTGTTGTCTGTTTTATTGTCCTCTTGCAGATTTGGACCTGGAACTCAGCACTTGGTGCTCAACGAGAACTCCTCTGCGGTGCACAACCCACGCAGCTACAAGATCCAAACCCAGCTGAACCTCATCCACCCAGAGATCTTCCCTCTGCTTACCACCTACCAGAGCAAGGTAGGCCAGGCCCTGCTTGCCTGTTCACCTCACACCCCAGAGCAAAAAATGTGTTTAATGTCGCTCTTCTTCCTGTAGGAAGAAGAGGCTGTGTGTAGCGTGCCCATTGTGCGGGGAGAGTGCCTCCTGAAATACAACTTCAGGCCCCAACAGGAGTGGCAGAGGTCAGTGTCCCTGTCCCTGAAAGTCTCAGACAGGGTTGTCCTGGTTTTGGTTGGCATAGAGTGAATTTTCTTTCTAGTAGCTGGTATAGTGCTGTATTCCGGATTTAGTATGAAAATAACATTGATAACACTGTTTAGTTGCTTGCTTAGCAGTGTTTACAATGAAGTCAAGGACTTTCAGCTTCAGGGGAGAGGAGGGGGTGTCCCCTCTATGTTAGTGACCCACTGGAGTGCATGGGGCTCTGCCTGGGAATGGGTGCGGAGCCACCAAGAGCTTATGGGTCATGATTAAAGGGAGTGCAGGGACGGGGAACACTGCAGTGGGAGTCTGCTACAGGCCACCTGACCAGGGAGACCGAGTGGATGAGGCCCTCTATAGACAAATAGGAGCAGCCTCACGTTCACAAGCCCTGGTCCTCCCTGGGGGACTTCAGTCACCCTGGTACCTGTTGGAGGGGCAACACAGCAGGGCACAAGCAATCCAGGAGGTTCCTGGAATGTGTTGATGATAACTTCCTTCTCCAAGTGATAGAGGAGCCAACGAGGAGAGGTGCCATGCTGGACATTGTTCTCACCAGCAAGGAGGGACTGGTGCGGGATGTGAAGTTCAAGGGCAGCCTTGACTGCAGGGACCATGAAATGGTGGAGTTCAAGATCCTCAGGGCAGTGAGGGGGGTGCACAGCAAGCTCACTACCCTGGACTTCAGCAGAGCAGACTTTGGCCTCTTCAGGGACCTGCTTGGTAGATACCATGGGACAAAGCCCTGGAGGGAAGAGGGGCCCAAGATAGCTGGTTGGTATTCAAGGGTCACCTCCTCCAAGCTCTAGAGCGAGGCATCCCAACAAAGAGGAAGTCATGCAAAAATGCCCAGAGGCCTGCAGGGATGAACAAGGAGCTCCTGGACAAAGTCAAACATAAACCAGAAGCCTACAAAGGCTGGAAGCAAAGGCGGGTAGCCTGGAAGGAATATAGAGAAACTGAGCAGCCAGGGATCAGGTTAGGAAAGCCAAAGCCCTGATAGAATTAATTCTGGCCAGGGATGTCAAGGGCAACAAGAAAAGCTTCTGCAGGTATGCTAGTGATAAAAGGAGGATGAGAGAAAATGTGAGTCCCCTCCGGAATGAAATGGAACACCTGGTTACCCAGGATATGGAGAAGGCTGAGATACTCAATGACTTTTTTGCCTAAATCTTCACCTGCAAGTGCTCCAGCCACATTGCCCAAGTGGCAGAATCCAAAGGCAGGGACTGGGAGAATGGAGAACCGACTGCTGCAGGAGAAGATCAAGTTTGAGACTGTCTAAGGAACCTAAGGTGCACAAGTCCATGAGACCTGATGAGATGCATCCATGGGTCCTGAGGGAACTGGTGGATGAAGTTGCTCAGCCACTCTCCTTCATGTTTGAGAAGTTGTGGCAGTCTGGTGAACTTCCCACTGACTGGAAAAGGGGAAACATTACCCCCATTTTTAAAAATGGAAAAAAGAAAGACCTGGGGAACTACGGATTGGTCAGTCTCACCTCTGTGCCTGGCAAGATTGTGGAGCAGATCCTCCTAGAGACTATCCTCAGGCACATGGAAAATAAGGAGGTGATTGGTGACAGCCACCACGGCTTCACTGGGCAAATCCTGCCTGACAAACTTGGTGGCCTTCTGTGACCGAGTTGCAGTGTTGGCAGATGAGGGAAGAGTGATTGACATTATCTACCTGGACTTGTGCGAAGGGTTTAACACTGTGTCGCACGACATCCTTGTCTCTAAATTGGAGA